CCAATACACGTCGCGGCCTCGGAACTCCAGAAACTTAGCGTTTATCAATGCCAGCAAGCACTGATAACTGTTAACCAGTCGGGGCGGGATTAACAGGGAAGGAGGCGTCAGCTCAGCCTTGTTGACTCCGCCCTCGTCAATCCAATCGATTTCGAGCCGCAAGAGTGGGATATCCGCTGTGGTTGCGAACTCCGCGTTCGTTTTCATTGGAGGGTTTTTTCACTTTGGTTGATCGCGGACGCTGCCTTTAAAGTTCAAAAAATATGACATGTCCGGCCCACCTGATCTTCGAAACCTTGGCAAATGCGGCGGCGTCTCTGATCTTCGATCGTCGGCGGAGTGCGGAGCTCCGGATTCCCTCTCTCACTTGCGTGTAGCGGGAAACTCCGAGCATCGCCCTTTCGATGGCGCGTTGAATAACGCCAACCGCATGCTCATCCTGCTTTCGCAGAATCTAAGTGACAGTGACATAATCTCCCTCAACCTAATGTACACAGCACCGTACTGTATTCGAGTCACTGTTCATTTCGCAGCTGAACTCTTGTTTTTTTTGACACATGGGAGAAAAACGCCAAATTAAAGTCGTCCTTGACCTTCGCGTCCACTGGTTAGTCTGAAACATGTATGCCTGCCTTCTTATCACATTTCCGTTCCATCTTCATCTACCTTTAGATCTACATGAAGAGGCCGGCACTGGAAGGAAACTATTGGAGGCTTGACCAAATTCTCAAGAGAAAAGCAAGTCAAGGCGTACACATTTTCATTCTCATGTACAAAGAAGTGGAAATGGCTCTCGGTCTGAACAGTATATACAGCAAACGCACATTTCAAGCTCTCCATCCTAACATCAAGGTAAATCAACGTTTTCGGCTCCAGTGAAATTTACAACGCATGTCTATTCCAGGTTATGCGGCACCCTGATCATTACCCATCCACAGGGACATTTTTCTGGGCACATCATGAGAAACTAGTTATCATTGATCAGCTTATTGCGTTTGTTGGTGGAGTTGATCTTTGCTTTGGCCGTTGGGATGACCACCACCATATGCTGACTGATCTTGGATCAGTGCAGTTTGGTCAGCAACACCTCGTTATGCACAGCATTAACATGGTACGGTTTTCAATATTTGACCAGATGATATTCTGGTTATATTTCCGCTCAAAAATTGACCAAGCTGGCTTTGTCGTCTACAGCCCTGATTATCCCACTTCCAGGCTTCTGGTCTGAGGTCATTGGTGAGTGCTCCACTCACTCTTTCACCACTTGGCCTGGAAGAAACGGAGGAAGTTGATTCCAGTAAGAAAGAAGGATCTGATTCCACTAAGAAAGTTGAGTCGCCTGAAAAGAGTGAAGGTCATTTCTGTCATGTCATTTCTGGTATGTCATTTGAAGGAAGTGTTTGCGACGAAAGCCTTTTTCAATTTTTCCTCATAATTCAAGCATGACAGTATGAAACTTTTGGTTATCGCGCGATTTCACCTCTGGGACTGGCAGATCATAAGCGGAGCGGAGGGGGCGATGAGCATTTCATGGTCTTTTCTGCTGTTTGGAAACCAAATTGGAAAATCGAAGTAGTGGCGATCAGGGGAAATGTACGGTTACACTGTAAACTATTTGAATTTGCTATGAGACGTACTTCCAACAAATTGCTTTTTTCCTCACTGGCATTCAAAATTTCTAACTGCTTTCCATATTTTATTTACTTCCCAAAATGTTCAAAGTTTGTGGAGACGCGCGGAGATGAAAAATAGTCACTTTTACATGGGTCATTGCTTAGACCATGCAGGTTGCGGAGAAAGCTCTTGCGGTTTTTATTATATATCAGATGCGCATATCGCGGCTCGAATTAACTTCATTTATAGAAATGGCAACCTTTGCTACCAACTTACTTCCACCAACTAAGAACGAAATCGTTCATTCCTGTCGCGCTGATGTTCGGAGATCTAGGCTCAATGAAACGAGAGGATTCTGCTTAAAGGCATGTGGCACATTTGGTGCTCGGCCTAAAATACAAGCAGGGTGCTATATAGTGGGAGAACGGCGAAAATAACGAAGTGAAACGGTCAAAAATCCGCAGGAAGTGCTTTCAATCTACACTACTCAGAAAGAATTTGCGGACGAGTTCCCCGTTGGCATCGTGCCAATAACCGCTACGGTAGATACGGCTGCATGTATGTACTCATATATCCATGCAGCACCGCAGCCGCTTCATATCAATCCCTTCGCTTCATGTTTTGCTGGAGCAGTACGAGCATCGAGTACGGTCAGTAGTGAACTGTTCTTTTCAGGAGGAGATTCGAAAGAACCACGTCGAGTGACAACAATCACAATCGGTAACGTTGAGGAAGGCGAGTCGTCAGATCTGGACAAGTCCGCAGGAGATAGTCAGGTGAGTATTCTCGTTTTTGGCACCCATTTCAACAAGATGATGATAGTCACTTTGGGCACTGTGGAGTGTTTTTGGTTTTCGGCTCTAAATAAAACAGCTCCGGTTACATCGCGGCTTACGGTTTTTATCGGAGCGAGGTTAATATATTGTGCTTACTTTCAGGGCAGCTCTATCGCTGGGAAAAACTGTTGCAAAATACGAGTCCCCTAAAACTTCATTTTTGGTATGACCTACCTTCACCGTGCCCCATCTTATTTCCCGTCTCAAAATACATCCTACATTTTCCATTTCTTCAGAAGTTTCTCTGCTTTTCCCCAAGGAAAACTGCTGACGAAAAGGGACGGGGGAAAGTGAATAGTGGGAACATTTTCCTCAGTAGCAATTCGCCCCCTCTCTCCTTCCGGGATCAAATGCAACCCGCTCGCCTGAGATCCCAAACGTAAGATGGCCTTTAACGGTTCCTCCTTGAATTTGATCCTGAGTCTCATCACATCTCAACATTCCCTTTATTTTTCTTGGTTCAGAGCGTACCTCACAGTTTCTTTTTAGCGAATTTCAGGTCGTTTACGCTGATGCAGACACAGGAGGGGTGTTGCTCACTATAAGCCGGAAAGGTCAATTTTGTGTTATTTTATTAGAATACTTCATCATCCCGTGAACTATTTCGAAATTCCAGCCTTGGTTGTGAAGGTTTGCAGGTACTCGTTCTGTCTCAGCAGATTCACCGCGGAGGACTCCCACACCTGAACCTTCAGCTCCCAGTCCTCCGCCATCTGAGCGTAGTGCAGCTTCACGAATAGCTTCTGTTTCCGGAAAGAAACCCACTTTTCTCAGTGTGGTTGAGGATGCCAAAGGAAAGAAGGTGATGCTTTTTCCAGCACGATAGCCATAGCTTTTGCACTCGTCGTCATACATTTAATTCATTTTAAGTTCTTTCAGAAAGCTGAAGAGGTTCGTGAAAGGTTGACTAGTCTTTTTAGCAGGTTCACTGACTATCCTTTGCACTAGAGCACTATACCTTTTATTTAAGAATTTCCCTAACCCCTTTTTTGTTTACTGAATTCCCATTTTTTCCGTACGAAGGCAACCGTGTTTATGGGTTGAACTCTCGGTTTCTGCGCATGCTGTGTGTCAACCCTAATCATATTTTTGATGTGACTCACTCTTTTATCTACATATTTTTAAGCATGTTCGTCGAGCTGCATCAGCAGCAGCTCGGTCACGCGCTCCTTTGGATATGCTTGACAAAGCGGGTCCACCACCATCTGTGCTTGGTAAAGCTACGAAAATGGGTTTGGACTTCTCAACGGCTGTGGAAAAGTACAAGGAATACGTTCAAAGTGGAGCAGTACAGAAGGTGAGATAGGCGGTTCCCGAAAGTTCTTGCCGTCGGTAATTGAACGATGCTCGTCCAGATGATTTGTGGCCCTATTCAACTACTAAGCACCCCAAAATCTCAAAAACACTCTTACGTGGAACCTGACTGTTATGCTTGTCCAGTGCTCTGATCATAATTATGACATCCATTTGGCGCTGTTATGTGCCAACTTGGCACCCTTTTCCGCAAACATGAGGACATACTTGCATAGTTATCTGATCGTGCTTGCGGGTTAGGTGGCCTCCTGAATACGAATGTGACATTCGTTTTTGGCGCTGGCGCATTTGGCACCTTGTCGTCCCCCATAGAACTGTACTGTTTTGCATCTGAGGTTAAGTGAAGAACCTAATCAAGATAAGGCACTCATTTTTCGGTGCCATTGCCATGGAGCGCTCCGCTAAGGCTGAGCATGGGAAAAGAAGTGACTCTTTACCTCCTCCCTCCTCCCGTGTCCGGCCTTAGCGGAGCGGAGTACCATAGTGCCGTACGTGAGGTTCATCTAAATTCTTTTTTTAAAGTATGCCTCCAACTTGATGATGGCACGGTCCTGGCGCCAGGCGACGTCGGCACTAAGATTGCCTGTTATTCATAATCAGAACTAATCAGAACTTCAAATCAGTGCTAACATGCATCTAGGATGAATGTTAGCACTGATTTTTTTTCGCAAAATCAGTGCTAACATTCATCCTAGATGCATGTTAGCACTGATTTTGCGAAAAAAAAGCGGTGACGCCAAATGGCGAAGCGAAGAACGGCAGTCATATTCGCGGTCAGAGCACCATGTAACCTCAGTGGACAAAGTTTCAGCAAAAGAATTTCTTTTTGACTTTTTGTGGTAGCGATTGGTTAGTAATGCCCAATTTTTGATTCCTGGAAATACTAGAGAGAACGCAGTGTGACAGATTTAGGTCCAGTGTTGACTGCAAAACAAAATCTGTTTTGCAATCAGTCGCACAGCTGCAGTTAGGGCAGAGCTGCATTAGCTTTCACTTCGCATTTACAGTACTCGACTGCTCTAATCAATTTTATTACAGGAGAAACATCGCTCGCAAACTCCGCCATTGAAGAGAAAGGAAAGTCGTTTTACCAGAGCAGTTGATAACTGGAAGAGCAATCGAGCCAGAAGGAAGTGGAAGCAGGTTGGATCAATCTCTACAAAATGTTGTTCAGAGAAAAAACAGATGAGCTAAATTATATTGAAAGCGCGATGTTTTCCTGCAGGTGCTAGATTCTGATGAAGTGACAGCTGGCTATGAACTGGACTTCCTACGTCTCAAACAAATGGACTCTGAAGATAAAGACTCAATAGATGGTGGTGTGAAATTGTGGATGGGAAAGGATTACGTGAACTACATCTACAAAGACTTCGTAGAAGTCGACTTGCCTTTCCATGGTAATATGTGTTTTTGGATTTCGTTTTTTGTTTTTTGTTTTATAATCTTTAGTTCTGACCGATTTTGGCGAGATTGCGTCTCGCATCGTTTTTTTTATGAGGCCCCTCTTCCCATGATGAAGTGCCAGATGGCATCGTTGTCATCAGGTCACCTAATCATAATCATTATGGGAATTTCGCTAATGTAGTTCTCCCGATTTGCTCCTTACGGCCCGCTTTTCACAACTTACTACCAACTTACTAGAGAATTCTTGCCAAACAATCCGAAAGTCTCGCCATCGAGCGGCAAGGGTTGGTGTGCCCTGTCTGCCATGCTTAATCACGCACAGAACCCGTGGAACGGTAATTTCATGGCATTGTGTCGTTCTCCAAGCGCTACTGCTACCAGCGCGGCGCCTTTGACAGCTGGCTTACACATCGCATCACAGTCGCGTTGAACCAATTAGATCTTGGTGCAGATGACGTGCTTGTGACCACCCTTGAAAACCTCCCCGCCGCAGCTCTGATGTGCTGACCTACACTCGTATTTTAACGATGTTCGAGTGGATGCAAAGCGTGCAGTCCCCAAGGTCGGTCCTCGCTATGTGCGAAGAGGATTTGTTGGCAGCTGTACAGATGTGACACTTTCGTCACCCGGAAGCGCAAGGGAGGCTGGAAAATGGCGGTGGCTGTTATTTATGTCTCCAACCGCGCAGTCCTCAAGATGCAGCAGTTGCATCTACACCGAAACCCCGCAGCGAACACTAGTCGAGGTAGAGAACAACTGAACAGGAGAGGGCGCTGGTAAGTAGCGCGTCTGGCTATGGTTAAGCGTGAGGCTGGTCTTGCGGCATGGTGTCTGCGCACCTGCCTGCCTGCGATGCTATGCCCTTTTTTCTTTAGATACTCTAGTAACGCAACGCATGTTGTTTTGAATACTGCCACTCTATTTGTTGGAGGATCAGGGAATTTTCAGATTTCATCGATCGCGGCGCCACACCTCGTATGCCATGGCACGACATTCATTCTGTTACATTTGGAGTACCTGCTAGAGGACGTTGCCAGACATTTCATACAGCGATGGAATGCAACTAAGACGGAGAAGCTCAAGGTAATGTGGGAATCTCGTCCTTCTTTTTTCGAATTCTTATGGAATTCCTGCCTGTAGTCAGGAAGTTTCAACATTTTTTCTTTAGAGATCACGTTTCTTTTCAGGATGACGTGAATCTGCCATATCTCCTCCCTAAAAGTTACGAAAACCTGAAAGTGCCGCGTGTGTTCAAAAATCCAGCTTTCAGCTACAATGTTGACATCCAGGTAAGTTGGTAATTTATTTTTTGACGACCTTATTGTCCTCTTGGATGAATAAGGACGCTGCTCGGCCTGGGAGGGGTATTTCTCACTTTCGCTGGCTCCTATCAAACGCCATATCTTGTTAGGACCTGTACGCTCTTCTCAGGTTTAAACGAAGCGT